TGGCAATCTAAGTGTGACCTTGAAATTGACCTTTGACCTACTTATAATCATGAACTGAACTCTGCTAATTTCTTTCTCTTTTAACTCCAAACCTGGCAGAGATAGGTCCATAGTTACTATTGTAGTTGAATAGAAAGTCATATACTGGCAATTTACTGTGACCTTGAAATTGACCTTTGACCTACCTTAACTTAACTTTGATTGTACCATTTTAAGTTATATATATTTTTTGCGTATTTTGAAAATTCTTGTTGATTGCATTTTTATAGCTTGTCAAGCATAAGACTGGTGGCTGTGTCCCTTATTTTGTGTATGTGGGGGGTCTATACGAATGCGCTTGCTCCAGCTGGTGGTACAATATTCGGAGGCGGTATCGCCTCTCTGATCCTCTAGTTTATATATAAACTTATTTGCAATATTAAACAGCATTTATATTTAAAGTTTGAATAGCAGCTATTGTAATCTTATTGAAGGGTTGGATTGAGACCATCTTCTGGGTTTACATTGACAAGTATCTATTTTTTTTCTGTTGGAAGACCATCAAAAATGGAGGATGGATCAAAAAGATTCTTTGGAATACTGTCAGGAAATATCTCTGGATCCGCTCCTGTTATTGACCATGTTACCTGTTGTGCATGATTAAAATTCAGTGTTGACTGACTATGCTATTATAAGCATCATTTATTATTGCATCAAAATTGACAAAATGACCTATTTTTGCATCTTTATTTTCTGTTTTTTGTTTGACAGCTTTGCTGCCTTGTTTCCAAATGCCTCTTTTATTTTCTCTATGTTGTTTAGATTTTTGCTTTGAAAATCTTATAGAAAAGTGCCGTATTTCCATGATAATTATAACAAATGCTGAACCACGGTCTTCTAAGTAATTGTATCTGTTTTTTTGCTTCACTAATTACAGTTTTTATTTTGTTAATATATTTTTCATCTCCTAGTAAAGTATTATTGTTTCCAGCCCTCATCCTCTAACTGTCACATCTTTCATCTTTAAAAGCAAGGATATTGCATCATGATCAGTGCTTAGACATAATTACGAAAGGACGTGAAACGCGGCATCTTCCTTTGAAGCTATGTGCGTTCGGGTAAACATTCGCCCATTGTCTTAGATAAGCTGTTTTGATAGCTCCACGGGAGCCTGAACAGCTTATTATCAAGGTAGCGCGCTGTGCCTCAGTGATTTTCTTTTGTTCTATCGCATGGGTAACGTAATTTCTCGCGGTCCCTCGTGTTTGCTATGATAAAGCATTGCCGCCATCTTGCAGTTGAGAGCACATAAGCTTGCATCAACACGTGGAAATTTGTTTCGAGTTTTCAGTATCTTTTTCTTGTAACCTCATTAAAATGGGTTCTGGCCTTTGTCTATACTTGTTATCGTTTCAAAGATTGTATTGATCTATGTTGAGCTGATATATAAGTGGTTTTAAAGCAATGTATCGGCCGATTCATGTGTGGTGCCATTTTCCAACGACAGCCGATATTGAGAGTAATGAAATTATCAATTAACGTCTCCGAATTCGAGCAGACAATGGCCGGTTAAATGAACATATATGTGCAGTTCACAGTAGTGTTGATGTCAACTTTGATAAAAGTTTATTAAAAGCACTCCGGGCACTTTTTGGTGTGTCACAAATCCATGTGTTTTGCCATATTGCAATGAGAAGCGATATTGAGGGTAAAAAAATATTAATGAGCAACCCCAAATTCGAGAAGACGTTAGCTGGTAAAATGAACATATGTATACAGTTCACAAAAGTGTGGATGTCAACTATGATAAAGGAATATTAAAAGGCATTACGGGTGCGTTTTTGTGTGTCACAAATGCATGTGTGGTACTTGCCATATTGCAACGAGAGCCTATATTGTGTGTAGAAAATATTAATTATCATCCTAAAAATCGCGCATATTTTAGCAAATCGCACTAATTTATACATTAAGTATACAGCAGTGTTTATGTCATCTTTATTTAAAAGGTGAATAAAAAATAGGCCCTACCGGTCTAAAAGAAATGTCAGCGAGCCTAAGAAATTGGAGAGAAACTGCATCAGGTTTCATTATTGCCGCATCGCAGGCTCATTTCTCACATAGAGAGAAAAATTCGGATCTTAGCTAAAAACAAGTACGCTGCACTACAATTATACAATTTTGAATGCTCATTTTACTGCAACAAACAAGATTGCCTTTACCACATAGGGCATTTTGAATTCCTCCATGAACAAACATATCAAATTCTCACATAGCTTCCAAATTGATAGAACAAATTGTACTTATAATTAATCTCTATAAGTTGATTGTCTCAGCCACCAGAAGGATTACCTCACGTTATCACGAACTACCTGCCCAAATGTCACAAAAAGTCATCGACAACTGCGATATGCTCGCTACCTGTAAGGAAGGTCACGTGATCCGAACGCACATGGTTTCATGAAGAACTCGCGCTAAGCCGATTATCCTTTGATCTTGCTCCGCATTTCACGTCCTTTCGTAATTATGTCCAAGATCAGTGTAAGGTGCGTACAGTATCTCTCCCTTTTTATAAAACAATTTTCTATTAGTTCGTTAGGTGTTATCCAGATTTGCCCATGTTCAGGGTACCTTTCCTAACTTCAGTATCACGGTCAGCTTATGCTCTAAGATCCATTTTCTCTTGTGTCACAGTACCATATCACCTAAATCTGTGTCTTTATTTTAATTTGCACCAGACATGCTGAAGCTGTAGGTCTGATCGGTCATGACCGGTACAATTTCTCTGGACCTGTAAAAAATTGTACTTATTCAGTCCAAAGGGCTGACAAGAGTTTTAAGAGCCGTCATTTTAAATTTACAGTCATCGTTCAATATACTTCTAGAATAAGATTATATAAAATCCACATAATTTTTTTTTTCATTTGCTAAATGATCAACACGTAAAAACAATGTTTAAAGACATTTTGTTCACATTCACTAACAAAGTACGCTTGCCAATCGTAGAATCCGTCTCAAACGAATGGGTAATTCCCCATATGGAATCCCCCTGCTTACGCGCGCTGTCATTGGTCTATTGGTTGCAACATACAGACCGTTATCACGAGGGCAGTTCATGCTGGAAGCATATGTAAACATGTCATGGTAAATGTTTACTGCTAAACTTGGACGCCTGACTCTTTTCTCAAGAACAATTATTCATATATAGAAAGATGGCAGTTCTTGAAAAATTAAGCCATACACGCTGTACTTTTGAACTAAAGGACAAAGTGTGAAATTCAAGGACTTTCAAAGGAAGAAACAATTTCAAGCTCTTCTAAAGGCCTGACTGTGTATGAACCCGGGAACTTGTGAAATGAGAACAACAATAAAGCAGTGCTTCATAAGTGTCAGTTTTTGTTTTTAAATTATTCAACATGTCCAAATTATTGATAGTATAACTGAATATGTATTTACAAGAGTTACTTCTGTGTACTACTTTGAAAATGAAACGTCTACGTATTTAATGGAAATTTTCTGTCCGGGAAATTTTTTATCACTGCTGGTCCAAATGTCCAGCAGTTCTGAAAAGATTTCAGCATGTCTGTGCACACATAGTTGTGTCTGTACATACAGCTGTGACCTGCGTCTGTGGTCATCACCACCATTGCCGTTGCCTTGTAACCACTGTTGCGCTTGATTTGGTCTTGAAGTACAATTTAAGATTTAAAAAATGATTATAGTTTCAGGTGGTAGAGAATTTACTCTGAGATCATAGATTTAATTTTTGATTCTCAAATTCTGTACTTGAAGTGATCTGTTGCTCATATAAGAGATTGTGGATCACAACTTGAAGAAAAAATGTGAGTTTTCACTTTAGCATGATGTGAGGTTTAGGTAGATACTGCTACTTAAAGTTCAAAACATTTAATCCATTTTATTTATATTTTTAGTGTGATAATGCAACTCCATCATTAGACAAATCATTTTATTACAAACTTTTCCATTGAATAAAAGTACTGATAGCTTTATAAAATATCTAATCAAAGTATAACCACCTATCCTCTAGGTAAAGGTGGTGTAAACAGATATTTTATGAATATTTTAGTGTGGTTGGTAGGTGGGAAATGGTCAAGTGATTAAAAGTAACAGATAATCCAAGGGATACCTGAATAAGTGAAAAAAAAAAAACTGTTTGCCCCATAGCACCTTTATTCAAGGTGGGCAACTTCATGAAGGGGCAGTGATGAGGCAATTAAAAGTAACAGTTGATTCATCAGAGGGTTACCTGGATGAGTGAGATCCTCTGTTTACCCCACCTTTACCTGGATATATATTTTGAGCAGATTTTTAATAAAATTTTCTGCACTTCTTTCTCTAAAATTTTGTGTCCTTGTACTCCATGAAAATAAAATTGGGATAAAATAATTTGTTTAATGATATTAATTATCCATCCTTGCATTGCATCATCACATTATATTTCATAAATGGATAAAAAGATTTAATATTTATACGCTTTACTTTATATTTGTATTTTAATATACATTCTTCAAGGGGGTGGGTTGCTGTCCTGATACAGTAGCAGGGGTGGATGGAGGCCATCTTCTGGGTCTTCCAGAAGATGGCCAAATTTTTTTCAGGTTTATATTGACAGGAATCTTAACTTTTCTGTTGGAAGATGGTCAAAAATGTAGGATGTATTAACAAAGATAACTTGGAAGACTGTCAGAATATATATATATATACGGATCCGCCTCTGTCTAGCAACATTGTATTTTTTATTCAGCAAATATATTAAGAAAAAAATTTGTTATATTCTGAATTCTGTTACAAGATGAGGTTTTATATTACTTATAGGGTCGGGTTTTACACCCAGAACAGCACCGTGTTGTCAGTGTGCGTGAGTGTGCACGTTCTCAGGGATTCCCGGACACATACAGATTCTATGGAAATATTTTGGATAGGCACCGACAGGTAAACAGTAACACACATTCACATTATGAATGCCAAACCTTTTGAAGCTGTTGTTTTACTTCACAAAAACAATGTTTGATATTTATGAAATTTTGTTCTTTTTAGAAAAAAAAGAAAATAAATGATACAGCACATACATATATATCAGCCCCAAAAAATGGAACTGCAAGTTTTGTTATGTGTTTGTTTTTATGAGTCCTCCTCCTCCAGTCTACCACCAGTGCAGCTCAAAACTCTTTGACAGTGGTAGGTTGTCTGCCCAGTTCATCCTAGGCATGATATATATATATATATATATATATACACACACACACACACACACACACACACACACACACACACACACACACACTGCTGATAGCCTTGGAAAAAGGAAAACTGGAACACTTTATAACTTCCCCACACTCATTTTTGTCTGCATTTTTGCGTCATCCCTAATATTTTATATGTTTTAGCATTACATGTGTATTTATCGTGTTTCAGATTGGTAATGCAGTGCCTCCACCTATGGCCAAAGCTATCGGACTGGAGATTAAAAAATGCATAATTTGGAAAGAGGAACACCTGGAATTGAGCAGTTGTTTTACTAAGGAGGAAAAAGAAATCGAGCCTTCTGCAGTGTCGGGTATAAAAGTGGACAACATATAGAGGAGGATACACATGATGTCATCCAAACATTGCTCATTTTGAAGGAATAAATGCATTTCCTGTACAAAACCATTGTCATTTTAAGTATGGCACACACACACTGGAATATGGTATCACAGGCGTCTGCTAGACAGCTTGCAGGAGAGCTTGTAAATATACAGATGTTTAAAAAAATTAAAAATAACTCTTACATAAACAGGCATATTCCACTTTTGCCATGTTTTAAGGTGATGGGTATTGCCTTGAAATGATGACTGAGCGTCTTTTTGCATTGAACTTTTTCACAGATTAAAGAAGCAAGCTGCTTTTGTAACATCTTTCATGTTTAGACATCGTGTCTGTTCATCCATCACATGCATCTGCCATTGTTTTTCCTGTGCACTTTTAATTACAGCAATTATTGCAATAAATGGAAAACCCTGTGACAAAATCTTCAACCTTACTTGAGTGATCCAAAGTACAGATCAATTTTGAATATCAGCTTTATTTGGCCATATTTAAAGTTGTGTAGTTTTATTATTATTATTGTACCACCAGCGTGGTCGCTGGCAGTACACATGGTTTTAGTCCCGTCCTGTCCGCCAGCTCTGCCGCCATGTCACCGTTACCACTTCTCCTCTTAGACTACATGAGCCTGCATACCCATCTCTTGGATTTAGGTCATGTATAATCTCAACTCACTCCACGTAAAATTTGGGCTTTGTCCGTACTGGGGTCTAGGTTTCTCATTGCAATGCACCCTTGTCCAAAATTGGCAAAATTAAATGCTTAGAATTATCTACCATACTGAAGGAATTTTGGGAAAAATTTCTATAGACAGCTGATGGAAAGTAATATGTGGAGATTTCAAATATGCCCTTGGATATGACCTTTGACCTTTATTTCAAGGTCAAATGGGCCAAAATTTAAAAAAAAGGGAATTTTTTTGACCAAAAAAAATTATTTGTGCTGATATTCAGAAACTACCCAGACCTAATCTATAATATTACTGGCAGGTGTTACCCTTCAGGTCATCTTTCACCTCCGTGAGTTTGGGGTCAATCGTTGCATTTTCATGGGAGCAGCAGCCATAAGATGCCGAAACAGAAAATTCTCTCTAATTCTGGAACCGTTAATGCAAGCTCGATGGAGTAAGTCGAGCCCAACACTGGAGGTGGTCTCCGTTTTATTGTTTTCCATACTGTTTACGAGTTATGCTGTATCAAAAAGTATATTGTGGTGGTGAAAGTAAAATGTGCAATATGGTAATATGCATAAAATTTTGAACGTCTGGAAAAGATAACATAAGGCTGGGTGAGGCAGACAACTTCTGGTCAAAAATGACATTTCATGGAATTTGAACATATGGAACTTCTGAGCCCCTCCAATTTCAAGAATTTCAACCAAAATGACCTTTTCTTTATTTCAATTAATTTCTTCTGTAGGAAATTTATGGCACATTATTGTAACTCTAACATTATAACATTTAGTCCCTTATATCTCCAAAACAGGCAGAGATAGGCCCATAGTTTATTGAAGTTGAATAGGAAGTCATATGCTGGCAATCTAACTGTGACCTTAAAATTGACCTTTGACTTACTTTTCACCATGGACTGAAATTTGCAACTTTTTTGTCCCTTGTATCTCCAAAACTAGCAGAGGTAACTCTAACATTATAACATTTAGTCCCTTATATCTCCAAAACAGGCAGAGATAGGCCCATAGTTTATTGAACTTGAATAGGAAGTCGTATACTGGCAATCTAATTTTGATCTTAAAATTGACCTATGACCTTTTTTTTCGCCATGAATCGCACTTCACAAATTTGGATTTAACTTTTACTCTTCCCCATGATTTTGTTTTAAATTGTAATTTTCAATAAAAATGTTTAGAACTTTAGACTGCATTTTGTAGATTTTGTCAAGCACAACACTAGAGGTGGTGTCCTTTTTTGCTTTTACATAAGAATGTGCTAACTCCAGCTGGTGGTACAATACCCGGAGGCTGTATCAGGCCTACCCAACTACCAGACTCAGCACATAAGGATCCTGAATTAACCAGTATGTCGGACCACACTACCCGTTTCCAAGGTGTTTGTCAGATCGCATTTCGGAGTATCAGTCAGAATACCGACGGGATAAGCCTGCGGTCGTCCTACAAAATTTGTTCTGGGGTATGATACTCCGAAATGCGCTCTGACACACACCTTGAATGGGTAGTGTGGTCTGATATACCGGTTAATTCAGGATCCTTATGTGCTGAGTCTCTCTGATCCTCTAGTTTATTATTTTTTATTTTATTTATTTTTATTATTTCTTTTTTTTTTTTTTTTTTTTTTTTTTTTTTTTTTTTTTGGTGATTTTTCACTTTTCATGCAGTGGCATTTTTTCAAGGTTTGTCTTTGAAAAGATTTTTGCATTGTAGATAGCAACTGGTATATTCTTCTTATGTCCCAAAATAATTACTTTAATTACCATTAACTGCTTCTCTTTGCCATTGTTCCATGATTCGAATGCTTGGACACAACTTTTCCGTTGAGTTGGCCACATTGCCGGGCAATAGGGAATAATAATGTTTATTTAAATTCATTGCAGCTAATAGGTTATAGTTGCAGAAAGATAGGTCAAGTAAAGAAATAAAAGATACATTAAGATAAGAGTATGTTCAACATAAATGCAGATCTCTAAAAGTTAAAGAAAATGAGATAAAAATGTTATGGAATCTTTGTGTATTGAAAGAATGAGTGCAGGTTACCATTAGCAAAGTGCCTATCATCAAATTCTTAAAATAATTTGCTATTATAAAGTTTATGCATATATTTGTTGAGTGAAAAAATATTATTACTTAAAATAATTTGCTATTATAAAGTTTATGCATATATTTGTTGAGTGAAAAAATATTATTATTATTATTTGTGTGAGGCATCGTTACTTAGTATTTTTAATGAATTATGTGGGGGGGGGGTAGCCATATTTACCTCTTGTATGCAGTCTAATGAATCAGAGCAACTTGTTTCAGCAAATATTACATCAATGATTTTTTTCTAATGAAATGTGTCCTGTGGTGTAAAAAAGAGTTATATGTTAAATAATTGTGGTGTGACATAAGTAAACGGGAAAGTAATTGTTTTTTGTTTTAAATCCTAGAGAAGAGAACAAGGGGTGGTGTATTATGGTATTTTTTCACAGAAACAATCACTGATTTCACTACTGTATAAAAGTCTTGTACATGTAACTAGGAAAACTTGTTTCGGCATATTTTTTAATTTTATATAACGTTTCTCTCAGACTAGCATGTGTTGGTCTAAATTTAGTTATTAATAACTGTATTGATGACCAATATACATTTTGCACAAGGCTCTGTAAAGAATAGTTAACAAGGCAGCAAAGCTGTCAAATGTACAGACAAAAAGCAGAAAATAACAATGCACAAAATATGCTACAAGACAGAACTCAACTGAAATGGGTTTATTTCCATTTTAACACTTTTTTAAATAAAACAATTTACTGTACTTTTTTAATGATCAACTAAGAAAATTGTTGAGATGTAGAAAATACCAATAGAACAATGTTAAATGTTCAATTTGCTCCATTCTGAGATTCTGAACATAGTAAATGATTAAATCTGACAAACTGCAATGATTTGCTTTTTTTCCATTTTTGACTTTTAATTACACAATAGATTAATACAGGTTTAACACCATTTTTATGTTATCAAGTAACAATATTGTAAAGATGAAACATTTGTCAATAGAACAGTTATACGTATCTAATTAGTTCAATAATGAGACTGTAAACATGCCTAAGAATTGAGTCTGAGGTAAAAGCACTTATAAACAAAACGAGGCATAACTGTATCAAAACTAAACCAATCAAGCTTATTTTCGAATTCGACCTGTATTTTAGTAAGATTAAGCACTCCTGTGAGTTTCATGTCAATAAGCCTATTGGTTTTCTTTGAAATGTGTTTACAGTGTTGCATATATGATGAAAAGTGAGAAAACAGCATAACTTCTAAAATAATGGCCCGATCATGCAGATTTTCAAACTTGACCTGCATTTTATGAATATTCATCAGCTCTGTAAATATAAAGCCAAAAGGTAAAACTATCTTTCACTTATCGTGTTTACGCTGAAAGTGCACTGCGACGACAGATACTGTGTCTGTACATAAAAATGCTGAAAGCCAAAAGCTGATAAAAGTACAAGAAAATCATTTGCATCTGCGTCCACGTTAGTTAGGCGGCTAAGCCAAAAAATTGTGCAAAAGTTGATAAAAGCATGAAACTTTCCACGATGAATGATCATTGGGTGTTTGTCAATTTTGGATCGGGGGGCAATTCCAAAATTCACAAGTACCCGGATGAGCAGCTTTCTTAAAATATGCTGATTCAGCATTTTTACGTACATCCAAAATTCCCTTAAACGAGCACTACCGGCGTTAATTATAATAATATGAATAAATCTGAGAAACATACACTTACTGTGCACATCTATAACAGTTATAATGACGTCATGATGATGTCACTGGGTGATATAGCACAATACATGCGAATATCTACTGACTCCCATATACTAAATAGTCGAACCCTGCAATCATCTTTCCTGTAAACATCCATTACAGAAATCCATTCTTTAGGGCTAGAAAGGTTAAGTTAGCTTGGTGTCTACTTCCAAGACTTTGAGCATTTTCAATATGGCCGTCAATTTTTGAGGGAAAATAGAAAAACAACCAAAAGTCGACATATACTTTATTTGTGGCTCTTGTGAACCTATTTCCTGTCAGAAAAACAGTAGCATAATTGACTGCGTACTAGCACGTTTCTGGTATGGATAAACCAAAATGGCCGCCAACGCATACAGCAGAGGATGAAGTATAGAAGTAAAATCAGTCTATTACTGGTATAATTAGTCTAATTAAAACTTTTAACGCCTTCGATTTTTCTGTTCATTTGGATTTTTCATTGGCCACTATCCTTACCTATCATTAATAGCTTTTTTGACATTCAAAAATTAAAAAAATGTAAATGAAAAAGAGAAAGAATAATTTTCAAAGAAAGGGGGGTATAAAAAATAATTTAAAATAATATAAAAATACATAAAAAATTCAATTACGGACTTATTTTGGCAGTTTTTTTTTATTTTTTTATTATTATTTTTATGTACAGACACAGATGTGTCTGTACATATAGCCATCATCTGCGTCTGTCGTCGCCGTCGCCGTCGTCGCCGTCGTCGCCGTCGCCGTCGCCGTGCACTTTTACCGATAACACGATAAATGGAAAACTGTTTTTTCTTTTGGTATGAAACTTACAGAACTGATGAATATTCATAATACGCAGGTCAAGTTCGAAAATCAGCATGATCGGGTCACTTTTAGGGAATTTATGCTGTTTTTTCACTTTTTTCAGCATATATGCAGCACTGATAACACGATAAGTGGAAAACCATTTTACCTT